ATCTATCTTTCTATCTATCTAACTATCTATCTAACAATCTATCTATCTATCTATCTATCTATCTATCTATCTATCTATCTATCTATCCAGTGTAAACTCGGGACACTGTGTTCTCTGACAGACTGGGTTTATGTAGGGGCAAAGTGTGTGTGCACCCAAACACACGCACACACACAGTGTGTAAACCTTGTTCCTGTTGCCGTGCACAACCCAAACTCTTCATCTCTCTCAATGTTTTCAGCCTTCCTCCCTTTCCTTGTTTTTCCTCTTTGCACTTTTCCTCACCCACTTTCTTTTTTCTCCCTTTGTACTTTTCACCTTTCTTCCTCTCACCCTTCCACGACTCAAAATTTCTCACCATTGCTCCTCATCTGTTTTGTGCCTACCCCTCCCGTCGTTCCCCTTCATCCTTCTTCCCCCCTCCAAATGCACCTCCTGTGTCTGCACCCAGCTGGTCCCCCCAGTCCCGTGCTTTGGGCTGACAAAGATCGCCTTTCACAACGGCTCCTCTCCTCATGCATAGACCCAGAGAGCATAAAAAACAATGACAATCAACACACACATCCTGCCCTGCCAGTGCAACAGCACTGCTGTGGGATCTCCTTGCATAACGACACGGCACAGCGGAGCAGTAATTTGTCACATTAATCTCTCACAAGCCTTCATCTACATTAGACAGGCTCATCACAGGGTTTGATTAGCACAGAACTTGATACTAGGATTGGGAAGAAGATGTTAATAGCAGGGTTTGAGCTGGAGAGGAGGCCTATTGTGAAAGACACAGGTCGGCAACATTAGACATGAGGATGTGTAATTGGAGAAACTGGCCTTAGAGAACAAGACGACATCGCAGTCTCTTTAGGAGCTGTAGCACTCGCACACTTTCCAAAGTTTGACATATTCAAAGTCTGACTGTATTAGGCTGTAAGTTTATAAACCTTTTATTTTTGTCACATACAGACCAGTGATGTCACCTGAGATACCACAACGACACATCAGAGAGATGAATTATTCCGTTTCCATTATGAGGCGGACAAAACGATTGCACGCCTGCTGATTCTCTACAAGAGGATTCTCTTTAAACAGTATCCCACCTCGTAGTTTCTCCATTGCAACACAAGGACAGGGGCTTGTGAGCAGCTGTCTGATAAACAAAGGGACAGAGCTTATAGAGGAAGTTTCTAAGAGGTTATGGATTTAATATTACAAAAATCTCCCTATAGACTCATTCATAAGTAGCAGAATAACCCAAACTGTGTCAGAGTGGAGGAGAGTGACTCATCTTACTGTAAAACTTACTTAAACATTTACAGTATGATTTTATTTTGTGGAACAAATATAAGAACGTTTTTAAACATGTCAAGATCAATGCAACTATAACAGTATGTGGACAAAGATCTAAACCATGACGCTGGTTTAAAGGTAATACATTTCTAAAATAAATATAAAACTTGTCAAGAGAGTGTGATCCAAATAAGATTAATGATCACAGGGATTTATTGGTCTCTCGTTAAAATTGAACTTGGCACATTGCTGCATTTGCATGCCCCAAAAAAGATGAGTAAGAGGAATTAAGTTATGGCTGTAAAAGTTTGTGCATGTGCTGATCATTACTCTAAAATTCCAGCTTACATGTCATTTCTGCTCATTAGTATATGAATTTCAGTATACAGCTAAGCCAACCATTTATAGTTTAAACGCCTTAGAAAGGTTTTTGCATAAACATTTTTTAAATCAGAATACAGTTAAAAGAGGAGACTCTGCAGTACATGTATGTAAAAGCATTTTAACCTATGTAAACCTCCCTCAGACAGATTTCCCTGACAGGAGATAACACTGTATATATCATAAACTGTACATGTACCCACACTATCTGTTTATGTGCGTGTCTCTGTTGTCTTTGTGCTCCTCGTCGTTACCTTATGAGAATAGCGAGGGTCGACTATTCTCGCCAGCCCAAAGTCTCCGACCTTGAGCAGCAGTTGGTCCGTGTTGAGGAATATGTTGGCAGGCTTTAGGTCTCTGTGCAGGACATTCGCTGAGTGGATGAACTTCAGTCCCCTCAACAGCTGGTAGAACAGTAGAGTAGCGTGACCTGTGCAAGGACAAAAGTCAGATATCAGGACACGTGACACTGTCGTCTTGTACTTACAGTTATAACGTGCAATTATAACTCAAGAAAACAGTTCAAGTGAGCTGTGCCTACGATGCATAAATACAAAAACACATGGTCGTGGTGATACATTTGGATATGGATTGATTTTAAAGTTCTCTTCCTATTAAATTGTGTCTTATCACATCGTATTGCATCATAGCATAGCGTCAATTGGAGTCATAGTTTGAAAAAACTATTAGGTGAACCTCTATTGGGATATTTTGTCCCCATACCTGTGGGTAGTGGCCCTTGTTCCAGCAGCCGAGCAAGATCAGTCTCCATGCACTCCTGGACAATGTACAGGGCGCTGAGCTGGGACGGGTCTCGGGGCAGTGGGCGTCCATACGGTGCCAAAACCTCATGAACCTGGACCACGTTTTCATGGTGCAGCCGATGGGTGATTTTGACCTCCCGCAGGGCATGTTTCACCGTCACGGCATCGCGCATCACCAGCTTTTTAATGGCCACGCGCTGTCCGTTGCGCTGGTCCACAGCTGAGAGCACCAGGCCGGTGACGCCTGTGCCGAGAGGTCGAAGGTCAACAAAGTGACCACTGAGGTCAAAGCCATGAAAGAAGAGGGGAGTGTCCTTTCTGGCCATGATAGCTCAGTTTGGATTGCCACAATATCTTTAATCAAAACTGCTTTGTTTTCATCTGGTGCCACATCTTGCTGGTGAGTCCAGAATCATCACTAGACATTTCTTTGGGTAGCGAGTGCATATAGATCTTTTATCATGTAGCAAAGGCCCAAAATACAATGTCGAGACTAGTCTGGCAAAAGATTGTGGGAAAAATTGGATCATTCCTCAGGCCTCAGAACAAGTTGTGTGCTGTGTGGGCAGATTCCTATTAAATCTCAATTTCATTTAACCATTTGCTTCTAATGTTCACTGATTTTAGAGGAGTTTGGGACAAGGGGAGTGTCTGGGCAAAAAAAAAAGACCCTCAGAAAGGATCAAAATATATGAAGCCAAGAGGAAAGATTTCTAACATTTGCTTCAGTCAATGATTGTGCAGCTACAGATTTAAACATGTTTCATTTAAGCATCTGCAGAACATGTCCAAATCTAAAAAGAAATAATTTGCCTTTCAATGCTGTTTGGATGTTATCGGACGCTGGAGTCTGCTGCAAGGTGACACTAATAATCTCTGTACTTCCTTCACGGACAGATAGTCAGAATATCAGTGAGTCTTATTAATACTACCCAGGGCAGGGGTATCCATAGAAACAGCCCTCTGTGTGGCTGATCCTGCTCTTTCATGTGTAGATGCATCATGGGACAGCAACAGGCTCTGCACTCCTCTCCCTTTCTGCACACTCTGCTATTTGCTACAAGTCCATAATCCTCATTGGCCGCTCGAAGCCTTCGATGCTGAGGCAGGAGAATCGGAGGGGTGGGAGGGGGAGTCATGCGTTTTAGATTCAATGAGACTCTGTCGGCTCCTCCTCTTCCTCCATGATACCAGAGTGTCTGGATCAGTCAGTGAGTCGGCCCCAGTCACACAAGTTCATTTCGAGTCAGATCCACAGTTGGACAGCGGGCAAATCCTGAATCTGTGGTATAATCCCTCAGTAATCTGCTTCCTGTTGCCTTCTCATGAATGTGGGGATTTTAGCATCAGGCCAGCATGGAAAGATAAGTCTGCTATTAGCTGCGTTGCTCCGTGCATCTGCTGCTGCTCCTGGGGGAGGAAATACAGAGAGAACAGAGAGACAAGGAAGATGAAGATGAAAGTTACACAGCAACAGTGGCTGTGTGTCATGAGGGTCTGCGACGCAGGAGAGTTACCGTTGCATAACACTGAATGGCAGAGTAACCCAATCTACACCAGTAATTTAATGTGCTCAGAGAGGGTAGTCACATCCGCTCAATGAGGCTTTCATGCTTTCATATCTGCTATATGAAGCTGTGGATGTTTCAGAGCAGAGAGACAATGGAGCACAGTAACATTTGTATCAATGGAGAGTCAAGTTTGTATTACTTCATTTTCTTTAAGCTCTTATTTTCAGTAGTTGACATACAGAAGTGGACATACAGGCAGATCGGAGGAAGCCTTTTGATCGAGAGGTGAAAGATTGCATGCCCATAGTTTCAACTCCTGAAGATACCGTGACCTAGGCAACTCAGAATATTCAGAGATGAATTTCAGCTCTTATATGCACTCCTGGGACGGTCATGCACAGTGGTGTGAAACTAAAGCTTTGACCCTCTCGCACCCTCAGATCCCTGAGCTGTAAGAACTCAAACAATCCATCAATCCATAAAACAAACCTCTTTGCTGTCGAAGGCCTGGAAGGCCACCTTGAGTATTTCCTCTCCCTCTATTGTCCTTCTTGCTAGAAATGTGGAATGAGCACCAAGAAGCTGCACTCCTGCTTTATAACACACTTCTGAACATACTCATGTTAGCCTGAGTCAGTCGGAGGCTGTAAGGTGAGAACAGGGAGGGAGAGGGAGCATTGACAGTGGTGCTGGGTGGGAGGTGCAGCACTGGGCTAACTTTATAAATAATGCATCACCACAGAAGATGGCACTTGCTGTTCTCTGTTAGCATTTATTCTCCATATCTTTCTTCAGGCTATTCAACGATATTATACTTTATGAATAAGAATTATGAGCAGGTTCTCGATCCAGTGCAAGGAAATATAGTGTGGATGTGACCAGGTTTATAAATCACACATTTGGGTTTGAATATCCTGTCATTTGGGTTGTGGAGGTAAAAACAGAAAATGAAACTGCACTCTATTGGTTTGGGCTAATATTACTGTAGGTGATAGCAGATGGGTGCAAATAAAGGTGCACCCCCATTGGCTTTGTGCAGCTGTGCCCCTTGTGTTTTTATTTCGAATTTCTCTGCACATTGCACTTCCCAACAGGCGTCTGACTTGAGCAGGGACACGCTGCATCCTCTCCGCACACTGGCTTCGTGCAGCTGCCTTTGTGTGTCAACATGCGCTCCAGTGACGCCCCTCACAGAACAAAAACACAGATGGAAGTGCATGTGATAAAGCACGAAAAGAAAAGTACAAAGGGGCCTGTGCTCCTTGTCCGTATACGTCCCTCCACCACCACCACTCAAACTGCAGCTCCACTTTGTTCTGTGCGCGATAACAAGAGGAAAGAAAGAAAGAGGCGAGATAACAGCAGCACCCACCGGAGTATTACGCGCATCAGCAGCCGCCGCAGCCGGAGACAAAGATCCGAGCAGGAGATACGGGTCCTTGGAAGAAGCAAGAAAGTGCAACACACACAAAGGGGGGCAGCGTCTCTCTCTCTCTCTCTCTCTCTCTCTCTCTCTCTCTCTCTGTGATTCAGATGATGATACAGGGGGGGCTCAGCAGGCACGGGTCGCTGGAGGAGGTGGTCGTGGGGGGTGATCCGCCGAGATGAGATAAGCCGGAGGATGCGTTAGTCAGAGCCGGGTACTGTGAGTGCGACTGTCCGCTCTGAAGATCCGATAGAGGAGAGAGAGGGATCCCCCCCCCCCCGACACACTACATCTAGACCTAAAGGCTTCACACACACACACACAC